ACTGTCACTCTGCCGTAGCCTAGTTTCATCTTCAACAAAGTTGGCCTATTTGCTAATGTTGGTGTTTGATCAGAAGTGCTCCCTGCATAATCCCTGGTACCGTACCCAGGACCGTGGGTTTCGCGAACGCCATGTCCATGTTAGAGCATTTCCAGAGCTTCGTGCCCCATTGTTGCGGAGTCACCATCATGACACTGGGCATCAAATGTTTCAGCTGGCAGGGGAGATGAATTCACTAATGTAGAAAGCCTTGCTGAAGATATCAAATTTTCAGTCTATTAGCTAATATCCATCTCCTAATCAAATGTCAACGAGGTCATCGTCAGCTTCAGTATCGCTCCATAACCCACTGTCTCCGCTCATCAACCCCCATCTCCTCCAAAATAGCTGTCTCGGCCTTCTTGATATCAACGAATCTCTCAACAACTTCGGGACCAAGTAGTTCAGTCAACTCTTCATCTTCACCCAGCGCCGCAAGCGCCTCTTGAATGCTTCTAGGCAATCTTGCACTCATGTTGAGCTCTTCTCTCTCTAACGAAGACAGCACTGCAGGGTCCTTGGCGCAGTCTTTCCAGACCAGCTCTTCCTCGTCAGCAACGCCCTTTGTCCCCGCTAATAGGATCGCCGCAAGCGACAAGTAGGGGTTGGCAAGTCCGTCGATGCACTTGATCTCCCAGTGACTACCCTCGATCTTGCGTAGTGGCACTTCACGGTTCTGGGTCCCCCATGTTACCCAAGTCCCGCCGGCCCAGCAGCCGTCTACAACACGTTCATAACTGACCATGCTGCTGTATGTGAAGGCCGCAATGGCTCGGAGATGCTTCAGGACGCCTGCGTAGAAGGGTTCGTAAACTTGCTTATCCGATCCGATAGGTGATGAGATAGACATGTGCATGTGCGCTGCTGTTCCGCATGACATGGCATATGGCTTAGGATGAAGCGTCATGCGGTATCCCTTTGCTGTAGCGCAGCTGCTGATGACTTCTCTGGTGTAGAGGAGAGTGTCAACTGCCTCGAGCGCCGATGCCTTGGGCAGAACAAACTCGTACTGCCCATTGGCACTTTCGGGGTGCATCAACTCAATATACACACCAGCAGCATCGAGCTGTTCAACGGCATCTTCAAGAACCTCAATCACCGCTTCATGGTCCAGAGCCCGAGTGACCGACCACATATGTCCATCGCTATCAAGTGGTTCGAACTTGTTCTCGTAACCGCGGCGGAAAAGCACAAGCTCGATCTCGAATCCGAGCGTAAACTCGAGTCCCTGCTCGGCTGCCTGCTTGAGTGTCTTCTTTAGGAGGGTACGTGTACAGAAAGGCGCGGGTGTGCCGTCCTTTTCTTTGAAGTCACCCATGACACTGATATGCCCCTTACGAGGACCAATACGAAGGCTGCTCAGATCGGGATGCAATCTATACTCTCCTGTTGGTGTGATACTCGGCACTGGCGAATCTCTCTGGTCGATTCCAAGACCAGCCTTTGTCACGCCGAGTGTAAAGTCTTCGCCTTTTCGCAGCATGGACCAGACGCGGCGCATAGGAATTGCTCTCGCTCGGGACATTGCGATGAAGTCAGTCCATGTCACCCGCAAGAATCTCGGTTCTTCCTTATTCTTGAGGAATCTGGCCAGTGTCGCAACGTACGTTTGCTCAGAAGACTCAAGGCCTTGACTCGAGTCTGGTGGCAATGGCTTGAATTCTAATTTCAGATCATATAGCTTGTTGGCGTTGTTGAAGAGAATGTCTTGAACCAGCTGAGCTGCCTGTGTCCAGGACATATCTCCCTTGTGGACATAATCTGCTAGCACCGTCTGCAGCACCTCCCGGAGCTGATCCACGGCTATGATGTAAGTCTCCGGGAAGTAATGTCCGTCGGTGCTCCAGAGAATCTTTGATACTGGACAGAGTTCTAAGATTTGTCGGACTACACCTTCTTGTCCCTCGCGGCTGATGAAGGGGAATACTTCGCCAATGTCAGCGTAGACATTGCTGTAAACATTCGCCAAGTATCCCATTTCACGAGTGAAAGGGTAGCTGGCATGAAGGAGAACGATAGGCACATCTGGGTATGTTTTGATGAACTCCTGTAGATGTGCGGGTGACGACTTGGATAGTGTGATATCGTTGTCTCCAAGACCAGTGTGGAACTGGATAGGTTTCTTGTGCTCATCCTCACCGTTCTGGATCAAGCCCGCCAGGATGTGCAGGAAGTAATCGTTGAGTGGCTCATGGTCAAGTCTCTCGAATGGTTGAGCACCGTCTTCTTTCCTGGTGTCAAAAATGAGCTGGAACTGTTGCATGATAATCTCAAGGTCGGTGACTTGAGTGACGACGAGACCTGTTCGATAGCAGATAACAGATTTGAAGCCAACAATTTCCGGGTCATCGAGAGCATCATAGATGGCGTTCATGAAATTCTCGACAGATCCTGAGAATGCCTCTGAAGGGTGTGAAAATTGACCACAGGCCTTCTCGATACAGCTCGCTGCAACCTCTTCGATTCGAAGGATGCGCCTGTTGGGGCTTCTCGTATAGGCATTGAGCGTGTGGTAAGGCTCAACATCAGCCGGATCGCCCAGAAGATCATCGACCAAGATGTTTTCGATGCCTGACATGCACGTCTTTATCCACTCATCATAGTTTCCCTTCTGCTTTCTGGCGACAGCGGCCTCAACAGCTTCCCAAGTTGTGTCGGTGCCTAGGCGGTTGGCAAGAACCTTTACAGCACGAAGATGTGCCAAACTTGTCTTTGAGTCTTCAATGGCATCTCCATTGGCCTCGGTAGCGATGCATAGGAGAGGATGTTTTCTTATAGCACTCAGCTTTAGAAGAGGGTGGGCATGATGATCAATAATAGGTGTTGTGTGAATGACACGCCGAAGAGCTTCTTCTGTATCGATTTTTAGGGCCGCCATCTCACTGTCGTTTCTTAGAGAGGGATCTCTGGTACTTGGCGTAGCTTCCAGTCTCTGGCTGAGCACAGAAGAGTCTTTATAAATTGCTCAGTTGAGCGTACTTGGTGTCGTTACAGATAAGGCTATTATCTGACAAGTCGGCGATATGGCGTGATGACCGTTTTTATACCTCGTCTCTTTACGAGATACACAACTCTCGAAGCTCGGAAGTGGGAGCCTCAGAGTAATTGAGGTTGAACAGAGCCAAGTCAAGGTCGGATGGTATTTGGCGAAATCTGCCACGGTTGACACACGACAGAGTTGCATAACATAACATAACATAATTGGGTATTGTTGCATATACCCTTGCATTCCCTTGTCTTGTCTTCCTCTGATCTGCTGATTCTTTGACGGGGCATTTGATCTAAGCCAAGCCCAATCAATTTTGACTTTTCACTATGTAACTCTTGATGGGCCTTGACATAGCAAAAGAAAAGCGAGAGAATCCGAGACTTGCAGATATTCGAGCTCTTCTTACTGGTCCATCTTGCATATGGTGAGATCAGGGTATGCTGGCAAAGATCAATTCCGGCGCTTATATTGAGCAAGATATTGTTATAACACGAAGACCTGGATTTGTCTCACTTATGACTCCCTGAACCCTTCAGAACTGTCTTTTTCTTTTTTTTTTTTTTTTTTTTAAAA